ATTCTTTCAATATTTAACCCATAAGGAGTATGAAATACTATAGTTACTAAAGAATAAAATGTAGGTCACCCAAAAGGCAACGGAAAATGAATAGTAGTGTAAAACTATTTCAGTATTATTACCAATGAAACATAGAATAATGGTAACATTAAAGGTATCATCCAAAGAGAGGCATACCAGGAATTTAACCTGAACCTGTTATGTGGCAAGAGCAAAAGATCACAGAACTATAGCTCATGGATTCCAGTGGTGCTCAGGTAATGTCAAGAGAAATGCCAATCTCACAGTAAGTGTATACCCTGCAAAGGACAAATAGGAGGGCACAGACTAGATTGTACTGAGATGAGAAGAGATGGATGGATTGCAATCTAAACTGCTGGAGGAAGTACTCACAGCAAGGAGATTGCACCTGCATTGAAGTATGCCAATACTTATTAATACAAGAGTATTTGCATCACACTTTAATTAAAAATATATTTTTTAAAAAACTGAATAATTCTTTTAAAACAATTTATTTGAAAATATTTATCCAGACATTTTGAATTTGGAACTCATTTCAGAGAAAACAATAAGGAAAAAATTAGGCAACATTTTTATATTTTTAACATTAACATGCATCTTTCTGAGTACTATTAAAATAAATTTTTATCTTCTTTTAGTGTTTTTACTAGTGTATAAGCAGAACAGAATGAAAGAATAAGAAAATCTGACTATGCATGCTGTATAATATTGGACAAAATGAACTTGAGCATATTGCTTTACTAATTGGAATTGGAAGGCATATTACTAATTACTAAATTCAGTGGCAACATATTAAATAACATTATATATTTAAGAACACTTTTTATTGTTCAGATATATTGGAAATGAAAAATATCAATAGTATTTTGTGATTTTAAACTGTACACTAGCTTAAAAGCTTTAAAATATCTCTACAATTAACATATTAATTCTATTTATGAGCAAATAAATATTATCCTGACAATAAGATAGTTGAGTTTTTTTGAATTTTTATAATTGTTACAATCAATTGACATAGGCTGAATGAACTATTATCAGACTAGTTCAAGAGATTATTTTTCTAGATAAACTATAGACTAGAGAAGCAGCATTAAGCAAAAAATAAATAAATAAATAAACATTTCTTGGAGTCAGAAAGACCTGGATTTAAATCCAATCACTAAAACATACTTTCTATGTGACACTTGGCAAGTCAACATCTTAGTGATGCAGTTAACTCTCTAAGACACTAGGTTGCAAAGCAGTGTCTAACCTACATTGGTAGAAGACTTTTCCTCTCTGGGAGCTCCTTCTCCAAGGACATTACAGGTAACACTTAGAAAAAAATAGATGAGACTAGATGCCTGACCATATCTCTGTCAGTGATGGTATTGTGATTCAGCTTATGTATTATCAATATTGTTTTTCAATTTTATTATCTAAAGAAGAATTTTGTTAGGGGGAATAAATTTGCAGAAAATATAGTAATAATACATCTTTTTTTTTAAAGTGAGAATAGCTTTATTAGAAACTGAATAAAGCATCTGGAATCTTCAGTGTCTCTATCAATCAAGACAAGAAAGCTTCGTAGACAAACTCAAATAGCTTTAAAAGTTTTCTGTTTGACATACACACACACAAAAAGGCTCCAGTTCTAAGCAAACATACCTAACACCTGTCACAATTTATCACTAAATCATTAAAGTTAAAAAGACAGCTGAAGTCCATTGAAATTAAAGGCATGCAAAGACAATACATATAGCCTAACATTCAGTACTCAATGGTTGAACTATGAATGTAATTTATAATGAGAAATTCCTGTACTCTTAAGAGGGGTTTCTTGAAGTGAGCTGAGAAAAGAGATATACTTAGTGGCCCTAAAACAAAGCAGTACAAACAATTCCACCTAGATTTTGCATGTGCTGTGTGTGTGTGTGTGTGTGTGTGTGTGTGTGTGTATCTGTATGTTGTTTTAAGAAAAGTAAATTCATCCATCAAATCTTATTTGATCTCACAATTTGGTGGCTTGTGTCCTTCAGACTAGTGTAAGTAAAAAATCTAGCTGTGTGGTCTCTTTTCTCAGTAGCAAAGAAGACTCATTGTTCACTGAGACACACATTACCTTTTTTCAGTTTTATTTTATTTTGCATAAAGTGACATTTGAGACATGCAAGATTAAGAATTCAGAACGTGCTTTTAACAAAGCATTTGGATTTTTTAATCTAACAATCCAAAAAATGTGATAAGGTAGCTTGACATGCCTCTGCAACTGGTCTCAAACATAAGAAAACCAGGAGGGACAGCTAGATGGTGCAGTGAATAGAGCTCTGGCCTTGGAGTCAAGAGGACTTCAGTTCAAATCTAGCCTCAGACACTTAACATTTACTAGCTGTGTGACCCTGGGCAAGTCACTCAGCGCCAATTGCCTCACTAAAAAGCAAAACAAACAAACAAAAAAACAGGGTTCAAGTCCTCTTTCTGATGTACTAACTGTGAGACTGTGGGAAAATTATTGACCTCTCAGTTCTCTAGGCCAGACATATCAAACACACGGCCTGTGTTGCTGGTGGCTCACAGCAATCCCCAGTGTGGGCTCTTCCAGATTAAAATGTAATTTGGAAATTTTCATCAACATAAATAAAACATGATAAAACATAAATGATATTATATTTTAAAACTAACTCAACAAGTAGCACATAGAGATCTTTATGTGCAGATGAGCAGCCCCCATTTCTATTTGTGTTTGACTTCACCATTGCTCTAAGGCGACTCTATAGGGAAGATGTGGAAAAGGTGACTCTCTTGCATTAGCAAGGGGAATTACTTCACCTGAAAGTTCTCTATAACAATGAAATCAACATCTAGCTCCTATTCTAATGTAAAAGTTTAAAAAATCATCATTAAAAAAATTCCACTCTTGAATTTAATTTATAGCATCTGAACCAGTGAAGAAAATCGTATTTATTAAAATAAAAATAATCAATCAAAAAACATTTTAAGTACCTATTATGTGCCAGACACTGTGCTAAACTTTGGGGATCCTGGACCTGTGATTTTATTGATATAAAGAACTCTCTAATGAGGAAACTCTACGAATGCAGACTGGCACCCGCATTGCAATTTATAGTCTTAGAGAGCTACCTAGACTAGAGGGAGCTTAAATGATTTGCCCTGGGGCACTCAGTTCATAAGTATCAGAAGCAAGATTTAAGCTCTTGTGTTCCTGGCTTTTGATGCCATCACATTATACATTATGTTATGAATGATTCTTATTCATTTAAAATAACTTCTTTTAAAAAAAATCTATTTGCCAAATCAAGAGCTAAGAATTAAAAACCAGAGTATCTATAAATGTACAGTTGTCTGGTAAATACTGGATCTTTCATATGAAAATTATTAGACCATTCAGAGTTCTTCCTATTGGTTGTAAATTGTATATACCTATGAACTTTTAAAACAAGATGTATATTTTAACATTGGAAGGTATATTGGAGATTATCTACTTAAACACCCATCCTTCCTTATTTGACAAATGAGGAAATAATCAAAGAGATTTTCCTAAATTCACTAGTTACTTAGCCACCTAGTTAATGATAGAGCCAATACTGGAATCCAGGTCTTTAGTCTCTAAATCCAGGGCTCTTTCCACTTCATAAAGCTGCCTCCTGATATATATATAAATAAATGTCAATCTAAATTACTAATTTAAGGGATATTTAAGCATACTTTAGTAAAGTAACAGCCTTCAAATATCTCTAAGCTAACAGCTGCTTGTCTCTGGGCAATCAGCTTCAATTAAGAATGCTACAATTTCTTAGATTCTGAAAGAGTCAGTATCCTTTGCTAAGATTCTGTCCCCTAAGGGAGATGGGATCAGTGGGCAAGGCAATAGTGGCCAATGTATACTAGGTAAAGAATGATCTGTGCTGACTAGCTGGCTTCAATCAAAGACAGTTTTCATTAGAGCTTTCAGTTCAATGCTGGTAAGTATTCCTGTCCCTAAAAGTGTCCAGATGCCTCAAGGCACAGAATTGAGACAAAGAACACAAAAGCTCTAGGGAAATAAAATGAAAAGTTTGTATTAGACCAAAGTAAGCTCCCCTCTAAGAGGGCTTATTAACTTTAAAACACCACTCACTAACAACTTAGTTTATCCTAGGGATCTATGTTTTACCCAAGATAATGACAATAAGATATGCTGGGGGGAAAAAAGTTCGAACTACTGAAGCCAAATACATGTCTATGGTAGATTTATTCTTTCCATAAAATTATTGAAAAGGAGCAGGAAAAGAATTTTATGGTGTTCTAAATTTCCTATGACATTCATCTAATTCATAACCTTAAAAAGATTAACTTTAACAGAGAATGAAAGCAATCCTTTGTTCTGTCCCATTTTTCTCAAAACTTGGGTCTGTATTAAGGACCCAGAAAACCTTCATTTTGATATTATAATTCAGTATATTTTTTCTTCACTGTATTGATCAATCAATCAACAAATATTTGTTAAGCCCTTACAACCTACCAGTTACTGAGTTAAAAAAAAATAAAGGGGAAACAAAGAAAAAGTTAAGAAGCTTTCCTCAAGAAGCTTACATTTTAATGAAAAGATACATGTTTATAGGAAGGGTTTTGATGAAATCTGAAATTGATTTTCCTCATACTCAAATCTCAGGTACTCTTTATAAAAACTGCAATTAATGTATTAGGCATCTAGAAAACTGATAAATATAATAGGCTGGTGGAACAAAGAATAATTAATTAATGTAGTGACTTCTAGAGTTGTCTAACATATAACCTCAGGCATTAGTTTAAGCACCCAGTGAATGAGTTTCTAAATTTAAATTAATTTTCTTTTTTGGGATCTCAATGATTTCTGCTTGTAAGATTCATGTAGGTTATTTGGCTTAGAAAGCACAAAAATCAAAGCCTTTTTTCTTTCAGTTCATGAAGGAAATGAACAACATAAATTGGTTCAAATAAGCAAATTTATTATACCTTACCTTACAAACTCTTCCAACTCGAGATAATATAGTCTTATCAGAGGTACTGCCTTCTTGAGATGACTCACGAAAGAAGAAATATATTTTATCATCATCTTGGTTGTATGTGTCCGGTATGGGAAAAGTTCCAACAAATTTTGCTCCTATAAAGAGAATGAAAAGGGAAGGGAACAAACATTTAATAAGTACCTACTATATGCCAAACACATTGCTAAGTGCTTTACAAATACCTCATTTGAAAGTAATACAGACTATTACATATTAATATATGGGAAAGATTAAACATAGAAAATATCTTCTGAAGGAAAAATCATCTCATTGTAACATTATTGGAGGCTTATATGATCTAATCATGATCTTAAAAACATTCTGAAAAGACATTCAAAAATTTCACCAGACTGTCAAAGGGGTCCATGACAAAAGAGATTAGTCTAGGTTAGCAAAGACTTATAGTGGAATGCCACCCAAAGGAGCATGGAGAGGCTCATGGTAGGTCTAAGTTTGTTGCTTTTTCAAGGAGGAAATAAACAAGAGAAGCACCAAAAAGTGGTGTGGTCATTGTACATGCTATAGCTTCTTAAATCCATAGATGGAAAATTCAGTGCCAGGGAAACCAAAGGTGGATGAGCAGCCCTGAAAAGGGCTCAGCAAGACCTCACACCAGAGGTGCTAGTCCTCCTGAACACACCATCCACCCCCTACTGGAGGTAGTACACAAGAGTACCTACAGTATTCTACGAATCACAAAACATCATGAAATCACATATAGTGAGTAATGTAGCCAGATGTTGAAATGTGCAAAGGTCTTAAGGGATAATAAAACATTGGGATTAGTTCCAAGAGTGTCACAGTTACTTCAAGGGATGTCTATTAAATTTCTCTCTAGATGATATCGTCTCCTTCTTTAATGATCAGGTTATTTAGATGGCCTTTCTTGTGCTCATTCAAAAACTATTTTTTAATTTATTATCTTTCTCATCATGCTGTCTCTTTTACTTTATTTTTTTACCCCCAGGAACTTTGTGAAAATAATTCTTCTGTAGGAGAATTGGTAAGGTTTTCTAAACTATAAAATAAGCATTTGGTATTCTTGTTAAACATGTTTTGCTATATGCAAAAGTTTAACTTGCAGCAAAGTAGTTATAAAACATTACCATGGTGATGACAGAAATAATACCCTAACACATGTGCACTCATATCATTTCATCATATTAAAGAAATATCCTGACTACAGTATTTACAGTAGTGTTATTAGAGAATGATTTTATAACATCATTTGACATCAGATATTAGCTGTGGGCTTGCTGCAACATTTGAACTAAGTATCCTTAACAATTTAATGTACTCTGCATGCTAAATAATACATACGATAAAATTGGAGTATTTTAAATCACACAAATTTTAGCACCATGAATTTTAGTTTTTCACTCAAGTTATTCTCTTTGGAGTTCAAAATCATATTGTATTGTTAAAATATTATTTAAAAAAGTGGACTAATGTTGATGTGACGTATTTTCACAAATAAGGTATTACTGATAGCAAATAACAAAATGAACCATCAGATCAAGAAATGAAATATTGCTAAAAGAAAGTGGCAGGAGTCTATCCTACTGGTTCCACTTCTTTGATACCTATTTGTTCCTTAATACTATGCAATCTAACTAATTTTTATATTATTTGACTCAAACTGCTCTTTCAAAGGTCACCAATGACCTCTTCATTGCCAAATCCAAGAACCTCTTAGTCTTCATCCTCCTAGACAAGGTATCTTTGAGGCATAGAAGGAAGCATGTGGCAAACAAGTGAAACCATCACCACCACCTTGACCATCATCTTCCCTCAGACAATGATGGGGGTGGTCCAGAACCTTGAACCCAAGAGTCCTGGGAATAGCAGTGTCCTCCACATCATCAGATCTATTTCCAGATCAGGTCCCATAGCTATCATTGCGAGCAGAAATCATTGTGGTGAAGAGGCCCAGCAAAAACTGCTGACCAATTGCCTCCGACAGACAGATAGGTATGGGGGCACCATCCCCCACCCCCACTGACCACCCATTCCTGACTCCAGCCTGGCCCTCACAATCATCGTATGGAAAGGAATTCTTATTGAGAAGGGGTTAAACAGCCCTACCAGCTGCCAACTAAGTGCAACACACAGGATAGGCAAGACAACTTAGCTGAACCTGCAAGACACTCTGAGTAAGACACAAAAGGCAGTATATGCTAAACAAGTCAGACCACCACATGTAGCTTGGCAATTATACCTGCAGTCATAGCTACTGAAGAATTAGAAAAGAAAGCTCATACCACCAAAATCCTTTGCATTGGCAATGGTTCAACATCAGAAGCTGATAAGATTTTATCAGTAGAAAGACATTAAAGAAGAGGTTCTACCATCTGCTTTACTGGTGCACACTAATAATCATGAGACTTTTCCATATGGCTTGCAAGCAGCTAGGTGGTACAGTGATTGCTGAGCTTGGAGTCAGGAAGACCTGAGTTCAAATTTAACCTCAGAAACTTACCAGCTATGTGACTCTGGGCAAATCATTTAACTTCTATTTCCCTCGATTTCCTCAACTATAAAATGGGAATGAAGATAATAGGTACCTCCCAGGATTATTGTAAGGATCAAATGAGATAATATTTGTAAAAGCAATTAGTATAGTGCCTGGAACAAAGCAGGTGCTAAATAAATATTCCCTTCTCCCTACTGAATTTGATCTTATGTGTTTCAATCCGAATTCTAAATCAAGATCTGTACACATGCTGTTACCTAATGTGTTAGTGATCTCTTCCAGGTTTGTGTCATCTGTATATATAAGTATATCATTTATGCCTTTATCTAAATGATAAAAAATTAATTAGCACACTATAAATACCACATGTACTGCATATCCATTGTTAAATCAAATATTTTAAAACTTTTATTTCCACCATATAAAACAAACTTCCTCACATCAGAACTCATCCATCCCCTGCCCTCAACTGTTTTGATTGTAAACTTCTCAAGGATAGGAATTAAAACTATTTAGTTCCTTTGTTTTAATACTCCCAATATCCAGTAAGGTGTTTTGTACCTTGAATTTAACTGAATATAAAAAATTGAACCTCTCATCATTTAGCCATTTTAAATGTGTGCCTTTACATTTACATGTAATTGCTGAGGAAATGACTACTTTTAGTTTCCACTAAGTGAGAATTTAATCAGATTTTCTATTGTATTTCTTCTACTGTGTGGGAAATTTGTAGATAACAGAACAAGTTCATATACAGCACTGTTTAGAAAAGCCTAAAACAAATCTGTTTCCACATGCTAAAAATTAAGAGTTAAAGCTAAAGTTCTCAGCTATCACTAGAAAGGAAAGAAAAATAGATGCCTCTCTACATCTATTGCTCACTGAGAAATTTTTATACACTTAGAGTCTTAATTTTTCCCTAATGCCCTTGCCCTAGTAAAAACTTCACTATCATATCATGTTTTATATTTTATTTTGTAATTTCTTGTAATTTTATAACATATAACATCATATATATATATACATATATAATTTATATGATGGCAGGGATGTAACATCATTCTTGGAGAGTTTCACCATGATTTAATTTTATAAAAACACCTGAAAACAATAACAGTGTCTTCCTCAGAGTTATGCCTGCCTTTACTAGAAAAACCAGTTGGACACTAAAAATATCTTTGTACACCAACAGGACCTAGTACTATGCTTTTCATATAGTTGAAGCTTGACAAACTGCTGAATGAATGAATTTGCTCTTTATAAGTTCACTCTTAAAATTAAGAGGTAAGAGAGAAACACGCATATTTTTGATTCTTGGTCTTACAATGCCTTTGACAACTTTTATCATGTTAGGGTAATTTTGCCATCCTTTGATGAAAATAAATGAACAGTGATTCCTTCAAATATACACCAGTAATCACTAGAAAAGTCACACAGATAGTATATTTTTGAATACTTTTCATTTCTTAGAGTGAAAAATTCCATTGTCCAGGTAGTTTTCCCCACAGTATGGAATTAGTAGGTAGTAGATAGAAATAAGGAAAAATGATTAGAAATCAAAGGGTGAATTCAATTGAATAGGAATTTATTAAGAGGGTACTTGAAATAACTGTTGACTAGTTATCTCCTCCTCCTCCCATACCAATCACGAAAAGAATAAAAGCTGTTTAAGATTACCATGGACACTGAGGTCATGACCATGATAAATAGTATTAAACAGAACATACCAATATTTAGACCATCCAGAAGGAAAATATCTCCTGGTGAGATCTTTAACAGGGTGGATTAGTTTCACCAAAGATAAGAAAACTCACATTTCTTGAAACTGGATTCATCAAAGTACTAGAGGATTTCTTATAAGGAATTCTCCTAGTTGCAAGCTGTGAATTTATTGATGGAAACTTTAGCTTCTGCAATTTGCTGGACATAGATGTTAATAGCAAAGGCATTCTTATCCACAGCCCATTGTATTCATAAATCCAAAAAGACAAAATACTTAAGATATATATGTAACCTTCCTAAACAGCTACTAGCAATAGACTAAAAGAAAATTCAAATAATATTTGAAAACCAGCTTTAAAATCTACTTATAATTTAAAATCTGGATTTGGATAATTACAAGTTCATTTATAATTTAAATTATGTTATATGCTTTATATGTCCAGGACACAAAATCACCATTCAAATGTCTTTCCAAACCAATTAAAACCCATTAGAAATATCAGCTGCAACGTAAAAAAATTCAAATATTTTTAAACCTTGGCATAAAAAAGTAAAATAAAAAGTAAAAGTCTGAAACAGAATGATTTTTTTTGCAAAGATGTAAAAAAATGGATGCCATAAAATATATTCCAATCAGCAAATCATTTGTTCTTATTGATACTATTGATGTATTTGGAGAAAAAAATTAGCCATTAAGTGCTGCTGTACAACTCGTTCAATTGAATAGTCCATCATCAGCAGTGTTCATTTCAGTTCTTCTTTACATGCGTTTGTTCTGCTCATAATGCCTGGCTCAAAAGAACTTAATAGCTGATGATATACTAATGAAAGATACGAACTGATGCAATAATGAATAACTGAAAGACACAAACTGTAAAACTTCCAACCCATCTTTTTCCC